AATGGCACTTCACTGCTGACCTACAAAACTTCTAACCCAACCGAATGGTAAAAACAGAACGCGCATGAGAACCTTAAAAAACAGAACGTATTCAAGCCGCCGAACCAACCAACACTGTGCAAGTACCTTGGATGTTAAAAATTTTTTATATATAGGTCTTATCTGACGATTCGACTCATACTAACCTGAGAAAGGTCATACTACCTAAGATGTTAGGGTTTTCCCATAGCTTTGACCGAGATGTCAGGATAGGTTCGCTAAATATCCCCAAACATAAAATTGAACACCTGCTGAAACGTTTTCGCGAAAACGATAGCGAGCTGTAATCATGAGTAGATACATTATTAGAAAAATGTGATTTTCCAAGTCAATTATCTAAAGCCCCCGAAGCCTTCTAACTCCTGAGGAATACAAGAAAAACCTAGAATTACTTGAGCGGTCCTTACAGAGGGACGCGTGTTCTCTGCTGTCTCAGTTCATCTCCTTGAAGAGAAGTTCCCTAGAACTGTTGAGTTCCGATGTCTCACGTGCTGCGTTCGAAGTCTTCCTGACTCGAATGTGAGCATGTTTCGTCCACTGCGCTTTATTCTCTTTCAAGCCAGCATGAAGCTTTCCCCCATAAGTCGAATGGAGCCGAGGCAGATGACCTTGCATGAACGTTGGCCCAACATGATGGGCCATGACTGGTTTGCATGAGCCTGAGGTGCCCAGATCATGCTGCGCAATGAGATCACTAACATACATTGACAAATCCCACAACATGTTTAGTTGACGACCGCGACCCCTGGTGCGTCCAGCTACCCGGCTAGGCTCTTCCCGCATAGTCGCGTACTTGCACTTTCTGCAAACGTGTAAACCGTCCGTTTATTTACTCCACATCCGCCGATTAAAATACTGTTCCATAATCTGCGGTCTCTGTTTCACCTAACATAGAATTCCGAGCGCGGTCGGATGAGCGTCCGAAAGGCATGCGGAGAGCTTCCTGTTCCTTCATAGAGCGCCTGTGGCTGGAGAAACACCGTTCAGAGGCGCATGTGAGATTCGAGGTGAGGTTGATTCCAGTAGAGGAGAAGCTAAACCTGGTCAAAAGATTCCTTTCTCTATTCATAGTTCCACCGCTGTTTCTTCGATTTGTGGAGAGCTCGCTGAAACATATCGACACAACCATCTCTGACCTGTCATTCTAACTATGGGTGAAACGGCGGCAGAGCGCCGACATATGCGCTGGATCGCGAGCATTTGCATGATGCAGAACTCCGTAAAATTTTGCGAGTGCGAATTAGCGAGTGCCATTGCGGACCAGTTCACCATCAGCTCTCAACGGACAGCCAATATCTGCTGAACAGGTTATTGGTGCAGTTTTTTAGACCACAGTAGCATTGGTGGTTGTACGAAAGCAATCCATACGGGAAAATACTTCAAGCTACACTATGAGTATTAGAAGTCCCGACCCATAATGAGGACTTATGGCACAGCGTTGATCTGGATCCCTATCGCGAAGTCGACATGGATGCGGCAATCCATAGTCTTATTTGTACTTTTGACCATGAATAGAGTCTCTGTCTTTTAGTGGCCGCGCATCTGTCCAAAGCGACATTCTGGCGCACTTTATGTAGTAGCGACGTTCTTCGGCGTACTTTTTCTTCACTAGCTGGTTTGTAACATGAAGCGTCCAGTCTAGTACAAACCGGTGGGCCAAACAGCCTTCATCCGTTGATCTTCCAGGACGCACCGAGTGGAACTGCAGAATAACCGCGCTCCTGAGTCATTGAGAGTGGAGGACCGACAATCCTTTCCGAAAATAGTATGCATCCGTTCTCAATATACGTGAACGCGTGTCTCCACTGATAAAGTACACTGTTGCAAACTCAACAGAAGAATATGAACGTGCGGCGCCAACGTTTGTTTTATGAACTGTTGTAAACCTTCTTGGAGTATTGGGTCCCTGAGCGACGTGTCGTGTTCGTACAGCATACTGCGGTAACGGTTATAATAATACTCAAAACACCCTTCCAAGGCTATAAGTTACCAATAAGCGTTTGCGGTGTTCAGAGTTTCTCGATATCGATCGCGAATGATCTGAGTCCTCATGTTCTTGTTGGTGAACATCAATTGGGGCATGAGGGCAGCTTAGTCATTCGCGTTGGAGCCAATGGAAATTAAGTAATTGGCGTATGGGCAACAATATCATACCCCTAACGTTGTAGCCAGTGTGGCTGTGTAGGCGGGATGTACCTTTTTGGAACCAAAAATAACCATCAATGGGCTTGCGTTAACTGTCAGAAGTTTCTAAAGCATTCTTGTGGAATTCCCCTTGCGATAGCAAACACTAGGGACAGTGCATCTTTCGCCGATCTGGCAGTAATTCCTCTTCGGCCTTCGTAAGTGTTCTGCAGTATGGCGAGTGAATTGCTTTCTGAGATCCCATCGGGAATATGTGTGTGGAACATTACAAGCGCAGTTTCAGACAAATTCTTGAAAGCATCGAGTGGTTAGAGAACACCTTTTGGAGAATCAAAATGAGTCAAAAGCAAGTTCGGACAGCCATGACCTTGACGATCGAAAGACATTCTGACATTGCTGCTGGTCCATTCCAAGTTTGGACGCTTTGGCTAGTACCTTGTTTTAACGGGTGCACGTAGCGCATGCATCTCAGGCAAGAATGCCTTTAAGTGGCCTGAAATGACTCACAACCCGAACCGCAAGCACAGTAGAATTCTGGCGGAGAGCCATCTTTCTCAAATCGGCTCTAAAGTCTCCGAGGATCTAGTACGAACGTATATTCTTTCGCAATGATAAAACCGAGCGATTTCTTGCGACGACTCAGCGGCGAAACAAATATTGCATTCTTAACCTCACGCGGAAATACAGGAAACCGCTCCGGCTGTAACTAACAAACCAAGCAAGTTTCAGCCACGGCAGTTAACAGAGCCCTTCCGGTGTGTTCCGACCCCAAACAAAAAAATCGGCGAATAAAACGCTCTTATTTCTATAGCGATCACTGAAGAATGGTAAGACGATAACCGAGGCGCATTTAACTCCTTATCACCACCCTACATGACCTCCTTGACATTAACGCCATAAATTACACTGAAGGCGCCCCACCTAAATGTCGCTGTTACGTGCCTCTGCAACTATCCGCCACAGCACCACATTCTAAGTCCTATCGCGAGCTACGATTCTGGGAAACGCTAGCGACTAGGCATCCACGCCATCGGTCTGTCATTCCGCCATGGAAACAGAAGAGGGCTTGATATGTCACTCGAACCACGTTTTGAAAAAAGATTCTTGACCCGTTTCACTTGGATCCAAGTAAATTTGCATATCACAATGGAACACATTACGTTTATCCAGGCATCTCGAGCCACAGTGGGCGGAACACAAGTAGGAGATGGCAAACTAACAAGCCACAGCGCCGAAAACACCTATATAATAGCCGGATTATTCGTGAAATTAGGTAAAAATGTGTGAGAAGTTCCATTAACTCACTGAAACTGATAGACAAGTTCTAAAATGGTTTTCCTTGACTAACGATCATACACATTCTGGTAAGCTGCATTACCAGTAACGAACATACCGGACTCCACTTAGCTCAAAGTATGCCCAATTAATCTCCGAAGCTAGCACATGGCCAGACAACATTCGGTCGGGAAGCCACATCAAACGTTTATATCGAACCAGCAACGGTTTGTTCTGAAATCGCCGCAACACATTAAAGTGAGTTCAGTGCATATCATTCACATCAATGAACGATCCCGCTAAACTATCCACTTCAGTACACTATTGCTCTCCCACGTCCAATTACCAAACGAGATATTCGCTCGATACCATTAAGTTCCTTCTTTGCTGTCAATGAATGCAGTTCGGTTAAAAAACATGGCGGTGCCGTATTTAGTATTGTAAATACTGCGACAGATACACATTTGGTCCACAAGTACCGAGAGATTGAGCATTCGGAATGTACTACCACTCCATTCAAGAATACATTCATTCGCTTGGGACTTGGTGCGACAGATGGATGATGACGATCTAAGCACAACATCAAGTATCCTATGTTGGGGTCGCTTGACAACGACGAACTACTACACTCTCAAAGTGCGGACAGTTAGCGAGCAATCTAGGTACAACCGTGTCTACCCGTCGACACCCTTCGGAAAGCAAGAAATTCCATCTGTACCTTGCCAACTTCTCTCTGACAGATGTGCAGTACTCAGATGACACGAGCCGAGACAAACCCATCAGCCCAACTTCTCATCGATATCATGTATACCAATCACCGTTAGCGATACAGTTAAACAAAGTATAAACAGCTTTGACCCGTACCCCCATACGCAGCATAATCTAAGGCAATGTTTCGAGGCAATCAGACCATCCCTCGAGTCGAAAGACATATCACAGTTCTTTACTAAACAAGTTAGTTGGAAATTACTCTGATCACTAAACTATCGGATGCTTGCCGCTGAAATGTTCAGTACTCGATCACGCTTTGGCTGCGAAGAATAATAATATTTTCGTTTAATTAAGCGGCTATTTACTGATTCTTGAAAATAAACCATTGCAAGAGATTAATAGAATATGTGGATGATTTTGTTTAAGGGTGAAATTTGGGATTATTAGTATTTAAAAGGTTTGTTAAAACGAGATCAGAAAATTGCTTGAGGGATTTATTTAGTCGAGGATAAATGTGTTGGGGAGTGAGTATGGCTGGGTTTAAGGGTGGAACTGTATAATTAAGTAAGGTGAGATATAATGGATTTAATGAGGTGTTGTGGGGATAATTAAGAGTTAAGGGTATAATGGTTGGAAGGATGGTGGGCGGGGGGTTGCGGATGGGTTACGAATGGATTGGTTTAAATGTTGTAGGGGGGGTATGATAATTGTATAGATTGGGTTGGTGGTAAGAATCGGTAGTATTAGGGATTTAGGGATTTTGGGGAAGAAGGTAATGAGATTGTTGTATTTTGGGGGGGATTTGTAAGTAATTTTGGATTATTAGGTTGATGTTGTGTTGGGGTGTGGTGGGGGGTTTGGTGGGGGTGTGTTGGTTGGTGGGTGGGGTTTGTGGGTTTGGGGGGGTTGGTTGGGTTGTGTGGTGTGGGGTGGGGTGGGTGGTGGTGGTGGTGGGTGGTGGTGGGGTGGGGGGGGTTGTGGTGGGGGGTGGGGTGGTGGGTGGTGGGGTGGTGGGTGGGGTGGTGTTGTGGGGTGGGGTGGGGTGGTGGGGTGGGTGGGTGTGGTGTGGGGTGGGGTTGGGGTGGGTGGGGGTGGGTGGTGGGGGGGTGGGGTTGGTGGTGGGGTGGTGGTGGGTGTGGGGGGGGGTGGGTGGGGTGGTTGGTGTGGGTGGGGGGTGGGGTGGGGGGGTGGGGGGGGGGGGTGGGGTGGGGGGGGGGGGGGGGGGTGGGGGGGGGGGGGGGTGGGGGGGGTGGGGGGGGGGGGTGGGGGGGGGGGGGTGGGGGGGGGGGGGGGGGGGGGGGGGTGGGGGGGGGGGGGGGGGGGGGGGGGTGGGGGGGGGGGGGGGGGTGGGGGGTGGGGTGGGTGGTGGTGGGGGTGGGGGGGGGGGGTGGGGGGGGTGGGGGGGGGGGGGGGGGGTGGGGGGGGGGGGGGGGTGGGGTGTGTGGTGGGGGGTGGGGTGGGGGGTGGGGGTGTGGGGTGGGGGGGGGGGGGGGTGGGGGGGGGGGGGGGGGGGGGGGGGGGGGTGGGGGGGTTGGGGGGGTGGTGGGGGGGGGGGGGGGGTGGGGGGGGGGGGGGGGGGGGTGGGGGGGGGGTGGGGTGGGGGGGGGGGGGGGGGGGGGGGGGGGGGGGGGTGGGGGGGGGGGGGGTGTTGGGGGGGTGTGTGTGGGGGGGGGTGGTGGTGGGGGGGGGGTGGTGGTGTGGTGGGGGGTTTGGGGTGGGGGGGTGGTGGGTGGGGGGGTGGTTGGGTTGGGTGGTTTGTGTTGGGGTTGGGGTGGTTTGGTGGGGTTGGTGTGGTTTGTGGGGTTGTGGGGTGGGTGGGTGGTGGGGGGGTGGGTTTGGGTGGGGGGGTGGGGGTGGTGGGTTGGTGGTGTGTTTTTTTGGTTGTGGGTTGGGGTGTGGTTGGTGGGGGGTGGTGGTTGGGGGGGGGGGTTTGGGTTGGTGGGGGGGTGGGTTTGGGTGTGGGGGGTTGGTGGTTGGTGTTTGGGGTGGGTTTTGTTGTTTGGGGGGTGTTTGTTGTGTTTGGGTGTTGTTTGGGGGTTTGTTGTTGTTGTTGTTGGGGGGGGGTGGTTGTGTTGTGGGGGTTTGTGTTGGGGGGGGGTGGGTTGTGGTGTGTTGTGTATATATATTATGTGTGTAGTGTGAATAGTTGTTAAGGAGGAGGGCGAGTGTGATATTGTTTTTGTTTATTTTTTGGACAAGGTAGTTATGAGGTGATGTTTAAGGGTAGCATGTTGCGGTCGCTACTAGGGATGTTTCCTGAAACGTCTCTCTGTACGTTGGACATACCCAATGTAAACAACACGTTTAATGGGTTCGTCAACCTAGTTGGTATGGTTACCCACTATATCCAACCGGCTCTGACTGAATAAATGATGGCTCTGTGTATAGACAAGAAGGTCTGGGAGGACCAGTGTATGTTGGGTATGTTGAAACCACCTACAATTATGCATTGTTTTTACATCTATTCCGATGCAAAATCGAAAGAATTGATGCGTACTGTGCTGTTGCAAGCACTGGAAATGCATTGTAAGCATGCGTTTTGGAGCCAGTGTCCTCGTTCAACAAGGATGATATAAAAGTTCTGTACATATTTGATCCCAGGTATCAAAAGTTCGTGTTTCGAAATATTCAACCTGACCTGAATGCACTTTAAGTGTGATGTACCACTTCAAAGGTGAATTTCTCAGTCCAGAAAAGTAATTCCATCTCAAACAAATGTAAGATGAATATCCAACCACTAACCTTCTTTGGCGAACCCATAGCATATGGTAACCAAGTTAGAGGTTTAGGGCTTCACTATTCCAGCAGATTTAACTCCTACGAACATGTACAGTACGCTGTCGCTAAAGGAAAGAAAACGAATGCACTGTTTCTCAAACTCTTTAACTTGAAAATGCTAAATTTCCACTGTGCAAGATTGTTTGCGGCCAGTGTTGGAGTACTTCTGTATAATGTATGGAAATGAAATGCCGGGTGACACAGGAAAACTAGTGCGCGTCCAACGTGCTTTAACATACATTTTTACAGGCAACCTCACACCTAGTGCTAATAAGGTAGCGTGTTACAAAAATCAGAACAACGTGTTGTGCATTCAAGTTCACACGGGCATCAATTCAGTATCCCTGAGGGGTTACATGCACGCACTATCAGTGACACTCTCATTAGTCCCTGGACATTAACCAATGGGACTCCCTGCATGCACTCACATGGCTAGGTGTATGCGGATACGGGGGACAGGTATGCTCCCGAGTAGGTTGACACATTGCTGTTAACGGAAGGCAGACAGGAGTATCAGTGCTAGGGGTCAGGAACAATACTCCGGACTGTAGCTGGTCAACCTAGGATGAGGTGTTTGCATGTTTTCCGTCAGAAGCACTTTAACAGATTTTTTGTCGGAAAGGATTACCATTGGTTCGTATTCTGACCAGACCGGTAGCCAGTGTCCTTGTGCCGTATTACCAATGCTTTCCTAGCAGTCGAAACGTATCGAGCGCACAGTTTGTGCTCGGTCCAAGGTACACAGTGCCCATGACACATTTAGGCTCCGGCTTACGATTGCCTCTGTTCGAAACAACATACCGCATGAAGATAATAATAATAATAATAATAATAATAATAATAATAATACTGGACATCTTTGTCCTCAAGTTAAAGCTGTGGCAATATTTGACCTAGAACCTACACGTATAGGTGATGTCATGCTCTTACAAGAGCAATATCACATTATCTTCTTATAGTTGTCTGCATTTCTGGTAAGGTATTTGCCCACATTTTGTCTTATGCGATGGTAGGAGGCAAATTTGCCGTTTGAAAATGTTGTAGACATGGAGGACTAATTACATTGCGTGTATTGGTGATGTTACACCCAGTAATCTGGGCTTTCATTGAATGGATGTTCACATGAACTTCCTCACCAAAAAAGCGACATAATGGTGTCCAGGTAGAGGTAGCTTCCCAACTTACTACGAAAGGTTTGCACAGTCTCGCACGACCTGATGGTGAATGGCAACCGATTCCAAAGCGAAGCATATATGGTGAGACGAAAGTTAGACCGCAACTTTGTCTTTCCTCGTGGTATAATCAGTTTAATGTCTTTGTTACCTAGGTCTCCCGTCTACTTATGCTGCAATGTGGAGGATGAATCGCTTGCAATGGGTATTGTCATGAATCAGATTGTGCAGCATTATCGTAATATTTTTATTCTTCGCAGCCAAAGCGGATCGAGACGAAATTGCTGGCATTGCTCCCGAGAGTTTAGGATAGAAGTTATTCCCAATACGTGCTTAGTAAAGAACTGTTGAAGGCTTTCGCTCGAGGATGTGTCTGATTGCCTCATATTGCCTTAGATTATGCTGCGATGGGACGGTCAAAGATTATACATAGTTTAACTGTAGCTGTGATTGTATACATGATATGAGAGAAGTTGGCGATGGGTTGTCTGGCTCGTGTCATCTGGTACTCAATCTGTTCAGAGAAGTTGCAGGTACGAGAATATCTGCTTCCGAGGTCACGGGTAGACCGTTGTACCCAGATGCGCTAACTGTAGCCTTTGGTGTATAGTTCGATGTCAAGCGACCCCAACATATGATACTTGACTGTTGTGCTTAAGTCGTCATCATCCATCTGTCGCACCAAGTCCCAAGCGAATGAATGTATTCTTGAATGAGTGGTAGTACATTCCGAAGCTCAACTTCTCGGTACTTGTGGACAAATGTTATATCAGTAACAACTAAATACGGCACGCCATGTTTGTTAACCGAACTGCAATCATTGACGCAAAGAAGAGAACTTAAGGTATCGAGCGCATATCTCGTTGGTAATTGGACGCTGGGAAGAGCAATAGGTACCTAAGTTGAGTAGTTTAGCGGGATCGTTCATGATTGATGATAGCCAACACATTAATGTGTTGCGGATTTCAAACAAACCTTGCTGATTCGATAAACGTTTGTGAGGCTCCCGACCGAATGTTTTCTGCATGTGCAAGCATAGGATTAATATGGCATACTTTGAGCTAATGGAGTCCGGTATGTCGTTCAGGTAACGCAGCTACCAGAATGTGTATGCTCGTTAGTCAAGAAAACCATTTTAGAACTTGTCTATCAGTTTCAATGAGTTAATGAACTTCTTCACACCTTTTTACTAATTTCACGAATAATCCGGCTATTATAAGTGTTTTGGCTTGGCTTGTTATTTTCCATCTCCTCTTTTGTTCCGCCCATGTGGCGAGGACTGATAAACGAAGTGTTCCATTGATATGCAAATTACTTGGATCCAAGTGAAACGGCAAACATATACAAACGGATCAGTGACATATCAGGCCCTCTCAGTTTCATGGCGGATGGGTGGATGCCATCAGCTTCCAGAATTGAGCACGATAGACTAGAATGTGTTGCTTGGCGGATATTGCAGAGCGTAACAGCACTTTAGGTGGAGCCTTAGTGTAATTATAGCGTTAATGTCAAGGGTCATGTAGGTGGAGAAGGAGTTAAATGCGCCTGGATATCGTCTACCTTTTCAGTGATCAAGAAAAAGCGTTTGATGGGTCGAACACCGGAAGAGCTATGTAACCGCCTGGATGAAGTGCTTGGTTGTATACAGCCGTACGGTTTCCTGACCCGTGAGGATAAATGCATATTTTTTCGCGCTGATCGTCAAAAACCTCGGTTTTATCCTTGCAAAGAATGGACGTCGACCAGATCCGGAACACGTAGAAGCCATTAGAAAGATGCCTCCACCAAGAATTCTACAGTGCTTGCCTTTCTGTTGTGAGCTCATCAGCCACTATAGCGCATTCTTGCCTGAGATGCATCGCCTGCGTGCCCCGTTAAACAAGCTACTAGCCAAAGGCCAAACTTGGAACTGGACAGCAGAATGTCAGAATGCCTTCGAACGGGTCAAGACATTGCTGTCCCCAAACTTGCTTTTGACTCATTTTGATTCCTCCAAAAGATTGTCCTAACCACACATGCATCAAGCCATGTGCTTAACGCAGTAATTTCACACACATATACCGATGGATCTCAGAAAGCAATCACCCATACTGCCAGAACACTTACGAAGGCCGAGAGGAATTACAGCCAGATCGGGAAAGATGCACTGGCCCTAGTGTCCGCTATCAAGGAATTCCACCAAATGCTTTAAACTTCTGACAGATCACAAGCCCTTGCTGGTTATTTTTGGTTCGAAAAAGGACATCCCGGCCTACACAGCCAACCGGCTACAACGTTGGGGTATGATTTTGAGACCCACTACCAATTACTAATTTCCATTGGCCAAGCGAATGCGCTGCCATGCCCAATTGATGTTCACCAACAAGAACATGAGGACACAATCATTACCTCGATCGATATCGAACCTGACCTCAACTATCTGGTAACTTATGCATTGCAGGGTATACCAGTTACCGCAGATGCTGTACGAACCGAAACGCTTCGGGACCCTATACTCAAGAAGGTTACACAGTTCCATAAAACAAGTTGGCCACGTTCATGTTCTTCTGTTGAGTTGCAACAGTACTTCCAGTGGAGACACGCGTTCTCTATTGTGAACGACTGCATACTATTTTCGGAAAGAGTGGTCATCCCCAATGCACTTCAGGAGCGCGTTATTCTGCAGTTCCACTCCGGGCGTCCTGGGATCAACCGGATGAAGGCGTTTGCCCACCGTTATGTATACTGGCGCTTCATGTACAACCAGCTAGAAGAAATCGCGAAACGCTGTCAAAAGTGCGCCAATGTCTTGAAAGCGCCACAAAAAGAAGAGCTCTATTCATGGTCAAAAGCTACTAAACTATGGTGCCGCATCCATGTCGACTTCGAAGGACCGATCAACGGCCAAAGTCCTCATTATGGTCGACTCATACAGCAAGTAGCTTGAAGTATTTCCCATGGATAGCACAACCACCAATGCCACTGTGTCAAAACTGCACCAAACCTTCAGCAGATTTGGCTGTCCTGAGACAATTGTAACTGACAATGGCACACAATTCGCCTCGGCAACTTTTACGGAGTTCTGCAAGCAATGCTCCGTCCAGCATATTCGCTCGCCGCCGTTTCACCCATAGTCGAATGACTAGGCAGAGAGGTTTGTCGATACGTTCAAGCGAGCTCTCCACAAATCAAAAGCCGAGGGACGAATAGAAAAGGATTTTGAC